AATTCTGCTCTAAGGTACATTCAAATTCCTCCTCTCATCAGGAGTGTAATTAAAAAAAAAAACAACCCTCATTTATTCACTTATTTAGCTGAATTTTCTTATAGACACCCAATTCTTATCATCACCCAAGCTATAAGAGTAATACTTAGCATACGAGGAGGCAGGGAGCTGTCCGTGGGCATCGTCCTGTGGTAGGTTTTCAAAATTTTGATTCCCCCCCCCGCTTATATTTGAGAGGAGCAGAGGCATGTGTTTATGTGTAACAACTAAAATGTTGCGTTCATGGCAAGAGGTTTGTTTTGTGATTATCATTAGCATCATGATCATTAAGTTGACTTAAACACTGAAACAGTAAAACCTCGTAATGAGGTCCTTCATCTCTGCCCCCATCCCTGCCACCACCCCCTCCAATTTTTCCCAATTTTATTTTGGTCCAAGATGCACAGATTGCAAATGGCTAGAGGTATAGGTTACCAAGCGGTCAGTATGGTAATCGCTTGCACAATGAATCCGCAGGGACAATGAGCACTTATTTTTCTTCAGTATGTCAAGGAGGCGCTTTGTACTCAGAAACAGTCCTGAAAATGGTAACCAGAGAGATACACGTTTTGCAACCCGATGCTTGGCTGGGATTGGAATTATTAAGAGTCAAAAGGATTTCAATGAGGTGTTCTATTTATCTTTGCAGTCGTCACTAGAAAGAAGTATATCAATAATAATGTTTAGCCCACAGTGTTGTATTGGTAAGGAAAGCCTTTGGGAGCAATCAGATACTTTTTTGGTGGAACAGAATGCCCCATCTGGAGGAATCCTTTATTGCGTTATTACCAATGTTTGTTTTTAACTATTTTCTCAGTCACTTTTGGATTTCTGTACTGGAAGGAAGGAAGGAAGGAAGGAAGGAAGGAAGGAGGCTCAGTGTGAAATGGTGGGAGGCATGTAACAGAAACAATAGAGGTTTGAGTCCCACTTAATATTCCCCTCCCCCCCCCCACATCCTTAAAGCCTTCTTTGATAGAGGTAATAAAAATAAGTTCTTCCCAAATACTTCAGAAAACAAGATTGCCTTCCCACTTTTAATAGACTTTAAGGGAGGGGTAGGGGATGCATAATAAACTTTTGGGACCAATCCACATCTAAAAAAAAAAAAATCCAGAGATCATGTAAAATAAAATGTAGGTATGAAAAGAAATAAACAAGTAGAGCAGCTATCCTCTTGTGGAAAATAAATTTTAATATAACAAGGAAAATTTATGGCACAAGTATATACAGGATTTATCTAAGTGAAAAGATAGAACCCTGGAGAAAAACTGGCAAAGGCTTATTTCCAGGTGACCATAGGCAAGATCTTGTTGTGTCGTCACTCTGGATCCTATACATATTTAATTTGGGAATCAGTCCCTTGAAAATAATTACTTCCAAATAACAGTACCTCCTGATCCCACATTCGTCTCATACTTACTCATTCACCTCACTGCCTCTCTTTGCAGCCTCATCTGGAGGTAGACATCACTGAACCCAATGCAACTTTACTTCATATGAATTATCAACTGGAAGAGCAAAGTTGTCCTTCCTTCCTTCCTTGGACTTTAGAGTAACAGTTAAGGGAGTAGCTGTAGAGGGTAGATTTATAACTGGTGGATTGACTTCCCAAACTATGAATGGTGAGGTACCTAAGGAATTGCTTGACCCAAGACTCTGGGACATCCCTAAAGTGGGACTCAGGAAGCTCTTTGGGAAGAATTGTGCTCAGTAAAGCTTTGGACCTAACAAGGACTGTTGCTTCTGTTTGTAAACCTCCCTCCTCCCTCCCTTAGCATTTTAATTTTGCTAACACCCATAATTGGCATTTTTCATCCAAAGTCAAGAACTTTGAAGTTGCATTAGGGTCAATGAAGGTTGGACTCAGTACCTACATAAAATGTGTGTGTGTGTGTGTGTGTGTGTGTGTGCGCGCGCGCGCGTGTGCATGTGTGTGTATTCAGAAGTGAGTCTCATGGAGCTCAATGGGGCTTACATATTAATTAGAGAATATGATATTGAGATACAGCTAGTCATGCCAGTAGTAATAGTAGGAGGAGGAGGAGCAGAACCACCATGAGCATCAGCAGCAGTAACAATAGAAGAACAGAAGGAAACGTACCAATGTTAATTAAATCATAATCTTTACTTTTCTTGGAATAAGGAAATATCAGAAATGGGAAATGCAAACTCACACAGTCAGCGAGAGGCAGAATGTGTGTGAGAGAAAAGAGATACAGGTATTTTAAACTCTCACAACTCACCCAGAGTTTAATACATATTAATAGTGATAGTAATTGTGGTAACAACAGTAATTTTCAATAGGATATGCCTCAATTTTTTCCAGTCCACAAGTAGTAACATTTTTCTGGACCATGCTCTTTGATTTGAAGGTAAAACAGCAAATAGAAATAAATCACTCTCCTCTTTCATACACAAACAGGCATGAAACCCCATTTTAGCTGGGTATTATTCCCATTAAGTTTGCATACAAAACATCAAAATTCTCCTTCTGTAGTGAGCAGGTGAATGGGCAGGTTGAGTATAATTAGGTGTAGGAATTGTAAACCTAGCCTGACTGAAAATGCCATTTTACACCTAGTCTGGAGTTCAGCGGAAAACATTTTCATTCCTTTTTCCCCTTCTTTCACAATGAACTGCCCTTTGTCATCTTTAGATAGGAGATCCATCAACCAGCAAAGAAATTGGCAATGTTCTCTACACATACAGGATCCTTCCCTTGCACTGAATTAAAAAAACAAAAAACAGATTACAAATTAAGAACTCTTAGGAAAAGATCAAAGATAGGCTTGAACAAAGTATTTGAAGAAAGCATTGAAGTAGTAAAAGAAGGGTCACTGACAGCTTTCATTTTAAGGGGTAACCAAAACAGAGACGGAGGTCTTTTTCTGAGGCCCACTTCCCCAAGGGATGAGAAGGTGGATCCCATTTTGATAGAACCTGTTAAAAATATTCATGCCCTATCTGGAAACAGCTTAACTCGCTCAACGACTTTTCATAAAGTCTTGGCAGCTGCTCTCTCCTCCATCTTTCCCCACCCCCAACCCATCCATGAAAATGGAAATGCAACCTTGGGGAACATCATTTTTTGGGTGGGGGAGGTAAGTATCTCTCCCTTCTCACAGTACCTGGAAGGCCATATTCTCCAGTTACTTCTACAAACCCAAAATTGAATCTGTGTGAATATCTAAGTCACAGATTCATCTCTAGGGTAGTACATGGAGGATACCATGACCTTATTAATGTTCTGCTTTCTTTGATTTCCCCTTGCAGATGTTGTAATTAAAATCTCAGATATCTGAGGTGGTGGGTAGGTGCTTGTAAATGTTTCTTTTAAAAAGGCACACACGCACACAAACATATTTTGCATAAGGATGGACAGAACTGAAGGAGAGACCTGGTGACAGCGAGTTCTTGAATAAATAATAATAATAATGGGGAAGGTGAAGTATGCTCTTGAGCATAAAAGCCACAGTTATTACTTTTTTCTTAGAAAGAAGGAACAGCAGTCCTGACAAACACGAGCTTTCACAAGCCCTTGCCAGAGAGAAAGGGAGGGAGAGGGGGAGAGAGAGAGAGAGACAGGGAGGGAGAGAGAGACCTAACCATTTCAAGTGACTGATTTATGGCATTTTACAGCCCCATAAAAACTGTTACAACCAGCCCAGAGCCTCCGACACCGCTGGCACATTTAGTCTAATAAATAAAACATAAACAGTTAACTTTATGTGTCACTTTTATTGTTATCAAGTAAAATATTGCAATGCCCTGCAAGCTATGATTTTCAACTATAATTGTTATCAAGCAGTACAAGGGATTAATCCGACTCTCTGTGCCCCATCTTCTTAATGTAAGCTATAGATAAAGCCCTTAACTGCAATAGCTGCTCTCTAAAATGTTTGCCTCCTATCTCAGCTCCTTTAACCTACCCAGAGGTCTGTTTACATGGCATATGGGGACGCACAAGGAAGGAGGGAGGGAGGCACACACATCCTACTTTTTCTGTCCATCACCCCTAATTCCACAATGAAATCAGATGCTCTGGACTGACTTTATGCTCCCTACACGAATCTCTGGCCAGGAAAAGGATACAATGCCCACCTCTTTTTATGGGAATGAGAACCTATATTCCTTGCATCTTACTCACCAATATTCAGGCTGGATGTGTTTGTTTATTTCCATAAGGATAACAAAGGTGAACCTTGTCTGGCTAACCCCCCCCCGCGCAGAAATTGTAACCATTTATCGATGTGTTTCTCACCCATCCCCACCGTCTAAACCTCCCCTTCCCCATCCGAAGGTTCAGATTGAAAATCTGGTCCATCTCCCCTCTGGGTGAAGACAACTTTTCCTCATTTAATTCTCCCAGCCCTCATTTCCTATCGAAAAGGACCTAAAATCGCCCTGAAGTAGAGGTTGATGAGCATTCCTAGAACACTCACTTCAAAGGACGCCAAGGTGATTTGCATATTACCCTTCCCCCCACCTCCCTCCCTCCCAGGTAGCCTGGCTTCTTTGTCTCTCTTCTTCAAACAATCAGAATACAGATCTTGAACTTCCTTTTAGTTTTCCGATTGGAGGGGGTGGGGGCTGGTGGAAAAGGAAGAGATCTGCGGACAATGATACTAACCGGGACCAGGAGATGGAGAGAAGTGCGGGCGGGGGGGGGGGGGTTTCCCCCCTCTTTTAAGGTGAAACAAGAATTTGGAGCACGCTTCAACTCCTGCGATGGAAAGATGGTTGTTCTTCCTCTTTAAAGCTGACTTAATTCTTGGTTGTCTACAAGAGAGGACTTGCTATGTACCTTGGGGAGCGTGGGGGGGGGGCGGGTAGTGGCTGAAGGAATGATGCAGTAGCTTCTACCACATACTCTTTCTTTGCCAAATGAATGAGTTTACTGCTATTAATATTCTGTACATTGACGTTGCCTTATTAAGGAAGGAACCTTTTTCTGTTTGGTTCCTATCTCTCCCCCCTCCCCCTCCCCGCTACACACACTTTTCCTGAGTTTAAGGGGACCACACCATCATCAACAACAACAAGAACACACGCACCCTCGCACACCCACACAAATTGGATACATTTTGAATAAGCTTTTGGTTCCTTATCCGGGGACTAGCTCGGCTGGCGTGATTGGCGCAAATAGTCACATGGTGAAACTAACTTTACGGGGTCGCCAGCTAGTAGGAGGGTTTTATGGAGCAGAAAAACGACAAAGCGAGAAAAATTATTTTCCACTCCAGAAATTAATGATCATGAGCTCGTATTTGATGGACTCTAACTACATCGATCCGAAATTTCCTCCATGCGAAGAATATTCGCAAAATAATTACATCCCAGACCACAGTCCGGAATATTACAGCCGGACTAGGGAGTCCAGTTTTCAGCATCATCACCAGGAATTGTACCCTCCACCTCCACCACCACCTCCTCCTCCTCCTCCTCCACAGCGACCTAGCTACCCCGAGCGGCAGTACAGCTGTGCCAGCCTTCAAGGTCCCGGCAACCCCCCAGCGCATCCACGGGGCCATGGACAACCACCGGGAGGCCACCATCTCCCCGAGAAGCCACCGCAGCTCTGTGACCAAACGGCGCTCGCCAGCGCGGCCACCTCTCCGTCCCCAGCCCCTCCAGCTTGCAACCAGCAAAATCCCGAGCACCCCAGCAGCACGGCCACTAAGCAGCCCATAGTTTATCCATGGATGAAAAAAATCCACGTCAGTACTGGTAGGCAACTTTTGCTCCCTTTCTTCCTCGCGCTCTCTCCCCATCTCTCTCTCTCTCTCTCGGGTGCTTTCCCCCCTTCCCCTTCCACCTCACGCTCCTCTCCCTCTTCTGCCTCCCTCGTTCTCACACACATGCTCGCCCTGGCTCGCTCCCTTCCTGCTCTCCTATCTCCTCCTTTGCCTTCGACGAGAGTCTTTGGGTTAGCACAATTGAGCTGGATTTACGACTCCGAGCGGGTAATTACACCCACCATAAATTTTATAGCCAAGCTAGTCTGGGCAGCCCCAGCCATGTGCTTCGTTCGGTTATGTATGTGTGAAACTCCAAAGGCTTTGCGAGGGGTGCATAAATAATTCAGGCTCTTTTCAAGCCAGGGGAAACCCCTTCTTAATACGAGAGAGAGAGAGAGAGAGAGAGAGAGAGAGAAAGTCTTGGGTTCTTTATAACCCATTTAGCTGATGACTTTTTCCCCCCCTTCTCGCTCGCTCGCTCGCTCGCTCCCTCTTTCCCCTGAGCCACTGGAGATCTTTCTTTCTCCCTCTGTGCATCTCTCTCGCTCTCCTTCTCTGTCGTTCTCTTTCTCTCCCTCTCTCTCTGCTCCCCCTCCGCCTATTCATGCTAATCTTTGGTTTTTCCAGTGAACCCCAATTACAATGGAGGCGAGCCCAAGCGATCCAGGACTGCCTATACCAGACAGCAGGTCTTGGAATTGGAAAAAGAGTTCCACTACAACAGATACCTGACGAGGCGGAGGCGCATCGAAATCGCCCACTCCTTGTGTCTCTCGGAGAGACAGATCAAGATCTGGTTTCAGAACCGGCGGATGAAATGGAAAAAAGACCACCGGCTGCCCAATACCAAAGTGAGATCCGCGGCTCCTAGCAATCCTTCCACCAGCTCCATGCCAGCGGCTTCCAACGCGGTGACCAGCGAAGAACACTCGCAAACCCCATCTCAGGACCAACGAGCAGAGGATATTACAAGGTTATAAACAAACCAGACAAAACAAAAACAAAAAAAGGAAAGAGAAAACAAACAGACACCCCTTCGTACAAAAATTTGACTCTGATTATTTATAGAATCTAATATATATCTATATATTTTGGTTCTTCTCTCTTTTCTCCCCCTTGTAGTTTTTCCCCTGCGTGTATATATTAAAAGGAAAAAAAATGAAAAGAAACAGAGAAGGAGGGAAAAAAATCATACACACAAAAGAATGAGGTCTTTTTGCTAGGTCTCAGGCTTTAGGTGCATGTGTTTATAAGCATGAGAGGCCAGGTGAAATACCTGCTGGTTTGGTTCTGTTTTTTGTTTAAAGCGCCATTTTCAGGGTTTTATTTATTTTTTAAAAAAGGAAGGGATGGAAGGATGGGTGGATGTGTATGTGTGTGTGTGTGTGCGCGCGCAAGAGAGAGAACGAGTATGTTAGGGTGGGGAGCTAAATGTTCTGTTTTAGATGAAAATGCGGGGCATATGCTAATAATTACACAGGCAAGGAAAGAATGCAGTTATTTTGCTCTGTGCGTTTACAAATGGAGAACAAAAAAAAAAGGACCATACAGGGCTTTTCCTTCCCTTTCTTTCTTTTTTGTATAAATGTGGGGAAAGGTTTTTTTTAAAAAAAATGGGGGGAGGAGGAGACAGCACAGGAGCTAGTAGGAAAGCTGACAAACTTATAGTTTATTTCACTCTGTGAAACAAAAGAGAAAAGAGAGGAGGAGTGAACAAGAGGGAAAGTTGAAAAGTGTCAGTGGTTAGATTTTTTTTGTCGTGGTTCTTGTGTTTTTTGTTTCTTTGTTTTTTGGACTGACAATTTGACACGATCATTGTAAACTTGCAATAAAAGAGTTTTAGTGTATATGTGAAAGTCCCCGTGTTCAATAAAAAAACACAACAACAACAGTGAATGTCATACAGATTGACTTTGGAATGTCTGGTGAGTTATTTTGCTTCTTTGCTTCCTCTTAAAATAGGAAAACTGGTGTGTTGGGGAGGGTGACACACATTTCCTGAGCTGTTGGGACATATTTGCAGCTAAGTTTAAGAAATATGGCTATTTTTATTTGTTTGGGTTTTTTTTAAAAAAAATATATGCTTTTGATGCGTGGTACATGTCACTTGAAGCCCAATGGCCAATCTGCCATTGATTTTAGCGATTGTGGATTGAGCCCTTTGTGACATCACAAAATGGAGCCGTGTTTGAGCTCAGAGACTGTTGAGAAGCCTTGTTCTTGGAGGTGCCAACATGTACTTTATTTGAAGCAGAATTGTCCCTGTGTAACTTCCAGTTAAATCAGTTGTGCATGTTTTATCTGGGTGCCCATATGGACTGTTGGTGTACCCTCTTTTAAAAAACCTGGGTCTGTTCTTTTTTTATATGTGAGCTCCTATCCATTTCTTGAGTTAGTTATTTCTGGAGTGTTTTCTCCCCTCCTTCCTTTCTTCCACTATCTGAAAACTGCTTTAACTAAAATGGGCCCCTACTCTAGAAGTTTGAACAAATTGCTAACATTAACACCATCGTTGATCTAGATATTATAGAGGAGGCATTGGAGCAAATCAGAAATTTGTTTACTTCCCTGGGGGAAGCAGAAAGGGTGGTGGGGAGGAGTTGTGGCAGACGTGTGTTTGCACAGGGAACACTGTTTAGTGTCATTGTATATGCAAGGTTATGGTGGTGGTTCTGCGTGAGTGGTAGATGGGCAGAGAGACCGATAGATTATCAAGTGCTTTTTAAAAACATACATATTGTCCCACTGTCCTGTCCTGACAGTGGAAACATATCTGCCTGGACTGGGCTTCTCATAGTTCTCCTTGGAGCCTTGTTTCATGACATTCGGTGGCATTTTGTGAGCATTCTGGTGACTTTCATGAAAGAGGAACTAGTTAAGGGTGTTATCTAGGTTGTGTTTAGATGATTTTAAACAATATAGTTAATCCAGATTATTCTGAGCACTGTACTTTGGAATGATGGATCTGTGAGCCAAGTTCTAAGCCTTCACAGTTCCTTGTAGTACTGATATTAGCATCCAGAGTCAACCGCACAATTATAATCTTTGGGAAAAGGAAGATTTTTGGGAAAGTAAGGAACAGAGAAAAGAGCTTTGAAATGAGCTGCTTTTGAACTGCTTTTGTTTATCACCAACCGCCAAGGCTTTCATTAAGATAATCATTTCAGCATCCCTGGTAGAAAGGAGGAGGAGGAGGAAGGGAGTGACTGAGTGTAGTATACAAGTTGTGGGAGCAATCTACATCTCAGTCAAGTTAATCTAGGGCTTCTTTTGATCTTAAATAGGCCAGGATGAAGCATAATTGGCTTGATCCAGCTCAGTTTAGAAGTGGCCCAAGAAGGAGGGGGAGGAGGTCAGTCATTCTGCAGGAGAGGCTTCTCTGCCTGATAACTGTGCTACTTGGCTGACATTCTGCCCATATGACGACCTTGCTTTTGGGTTACATGGCATCAGGAAAACTGTTGGCATAATAGCTAGGCATGGAGCTATTTATTCCAGATTTCTAAAGCAAAGGGTGGGGGTGGGTGAATCGTGCCTCTTGGGTGTGTGCCTGTGCTGTGAAGTGCTTAGAAGGTTTCCTTATCACTATCGGGCCTACTTGTTCACCCTCAGTTTGTTAGGTCAAGTGGAGGGGGTGAAATAGTAGTCTCTACGGCTGCAGTCCTACACACACTTTCTTTTGAGGAAGCATCATTTTACAGAGCGGGATCTACTATGGGGGGGAAGTAAGCATGCAAAAACCTTAGCTCCAGACCAAATCCATCAAGTACATTCTTCCATGTGGAGGAGCAATTTACCCGTTCTTCAGTGCAAGGAGCAAGTTGTTCACATTTATTCTTCCTATTCTACTATTGTAGCAAAACAAAACTAGGTTCTCCTCAGGTCTGTCTGTTTGTCTCTCTCTCTCATAAACACATCAGATTAGGAGAGCAAAGGGCTAAAAGGTCCTAAGTTTGGAATAGTGGCGTTACCATCCAAATAACCCTTTGATACAAAGTTGGTTTTCCTGACTTTCCTTCTCTTTCCCTCTGACACATCCTCTGACTCTCCTCAAATTTCCTAGGGAGTAAGCAAAACCAAGGGAAAAAAAGTTATCTGGCACCTTAAAGGCTAACAAGTTTTGTTTAGCACCCAGTTTCCTGGACCGTAGCCCAGTCCTTATGATATAAAAGTTAAACCGAATATTACAGAAGTTCCCAGTGAGAACGACCTGAGAACACTGGGTGAGTCTGTGTATGACTAAATTAGATTTCTTTCTTTTTCTTTTCCTTTTCTAAAAAAAAAAGTTTCATGCAAACACACAGCCATGCCCAGGCATGGACACACACCACCGGAACAATAATAACTGAAAGTCTGTGAGACTACGGGACAGAATATGATGGGACTTTGTGTTGTGTTTGCTCTTTGTTTGCCTAGAAAGCCCGGAAAGAGGGTGGGGAACATCAGTCCTTTTTGCCATGAGATAGTATGCAACTCACTCTCTCTCTTGTCAAATGAAACTCTCAGCAGGATGATATTTAAATACATATTTGTTACAATCTTTTCAGTAGTTCCCCCCTACACAAACAGCCTGCCCCCCCATTTGCTATTTCATTTTTCTCCCTCAGATTCACTTCACTGTTTATCTTCTACAATGTTTTCTTAAACCAGAATGTGTTTCTTTAGTACGTGATGTAGCCTTTAGACTTGGCCATGACACAATTCTTCCAGGGTAAGGAGATTATGAATGAGATATACAGGCAGGCGGCAGGGAGGAAAATAGAAGAAAGAAAGAAAGAAAGAAAGAAAGAAAGAAAGAAAGAAAGAAAGAAAGAAAGAAAGAAAGAAAGAAAGAAAGAAAGAAAGAAAGAAAGAAAGAAAGGGGGGATGTCATGAGATGCAAAACAGGCTCCCCTCCCCATCATTTGCCCCCATCATTTTCCTCTCTCTCTCTCTTTCTCTCTTTGGGTTCTCAGCTTCTTGACGCCTCCATGTTGGGAGCCTGAAGGGTACTTTATTGAAGTTCGGGTAAAAGGGAGGAGGGAAAGTGGGTTCACGCAGAGGACAACTTTTCTACACCAGCAGTTGTATTCTAGCCACTCAGGCTGACCTCGGAGCCCTTCGTGACCTGAGCTAAGACTCCCAACGTGTACCTTCTGTGCGCCCTACACACATTTAAAGGCATCGCCACTGTTTAGGTTCTTTGTCAAAAATTTACCACAGTAATGGAGAGCCGGGTGGGAGGGGATGAAACTGGGGACTGGGGGGGGGAGAGGCAGGGAGAGTGGGCTTTGGACAGATTTCAATGCGTGTTATCGCATTGTGTTGTCACCAAAATAACCCCAGAGAAAAGAAGGCAGGGTGAAGTTTCGGCCAAGCCTCCCTTCTCCTTTTCCCGCCTTCTCACAGCTTGGAAGATTTCCCAGCTGGCTATTCTATGGCAAGAGCAAAGTTCCCGAACACCAAGTAAGTATCTTGCGTTTTTAAAAGTTCTTCTTATTACATTTTAGGGAGGGGAAAAGCAGTTTATAGTTCTGTGTGCATGTGTTTTTTTTTAATGTCAAAGTGTAAGGTGGAGAAAACGCTCTTAGATGGCTAAGAAGCTCTCTGAGGACTACCTCCTCTGGCAGAAACAGGAATGGGGTGGGGGTGGGGGGGCTATTTCTGGGACCGCTGGTCTGAACATCACCTGGCAGCCAGCTATCTTGAACCGAGAGCAAGACAGGTGATCAAAATGGACTGGAAGCCTCTGGTCACTACCTGGAACACCAGCCAACGGGTTAGGATGACTTCAGAGCCCATGGACCTGTGTGCCACCTGATCTTAGTGCTTCTCTTGGTCTCCTGTGGAGTTCTGTTCGCATGGGCTCCCTTGGTGTCGTATTACTAGCATTGCCAGCATTGATGCACATGTCTGTGTCCCTTCCTTGCCACACAGTGGGAAAGGCAACAAAGTTCTCTTTCTTGTTGACTTGTCTAGATTTCATTGCTCTGGGGTTACACTACTGTACTCTTCTTCCCTCTGTTTTCCCCTCCACTCACCTACCTTTTAAAATTCAGGGTCAGATATAGGTTTGGAATTATTCTCCAGCCTGTCCCAAAACTCTGAATCCCGTAGGATTGACTTGGGAGTATGCTTATGGAGCCTAGGCAATTCCCGGTTTTGTGTGAAGTAACCTATGAAGTTATCTACAGTTTGGCTCAGGGTTGGGAGCCCATATGCTTTAATGCCGTGGAAACAAATGCTTCTTCTAATAGCCGTATGGGGAACACTTCACAAGGACTGAGGTGGCCATAAAAAAAGGCATTAGGATGTTCCCTCTTTTATACCAGGGTGAACAAAATGGGCAATAGAAACTTCCCAGTGGCTGAGGAAAATCAGTCGTCTTCTGTGGGATTCAATGGCTTTGAAGGCTGCTTGGAAAGAAAACTCTTGATTTTAGGAACAGAAGGGTAAGGCAGCATAGCTTCGTCTCCTAAAATGCCACTTAGCAAATTATGTCCCCTTGACTCTTGCAGTCTCTTAACTTCTGGAGTTCCTCTCTTTGCTCTCCCTCTCCCCATGCAGTCAAGGGGTAAAAACGTGGTCTAGTACGTAGTTTAATTGTAATTAAAAGACAAATATTCCGCCAGGGTTAAATGAATGAGTTACGGGTTTCCAACCATAATTGCCAGCAGTTTCAACATGTAACTTATATTTATTGTGGTCTCGTATATCATTACCCAGAGATATAGTTTTATGTACTTCCTAATCTGTCGCCCTGATTTATTTTGATGGGCATGCTACCAAACCAAACATTTTGGGACTTTAGTGAAAGACTAGTATTTCCTTGCAAAGAGCCAACAGCTCTCATGTTAATGGCATTAACAATTTCTGGCAAAATGCTGCCCTCTTTTATTTCCTTTCTTCCCTCC